GAAGCTCAACAGCATGAGTAAGGGCATCAGCACCATGAGTAAAGATATAGAAACATTGAAAACCAACCAAGTGGAAATGAAGAATGACATAGAAGAAATAAAGAATATGTTGAAAGAACTAACCAGCAGATTAGAGAAAGCAGAGGACCGGATCAGTGAATTAGAAGACAGGGTAGAACAAATCAACCAATCAGAAAACCAAAAGGAATAAACAATTAAAAACCCGGAAAACAGCTTAAGGGAACTGTGGGACAACTGGAAACATAATAACATTCGCATCATAGGAGTCTCCGAAGAGGAAGAGAATGGGCGAGGTTTAGAGAATATATATGAATAAATAGTGACAGAAAACTTTCCTAACTTGGTGAGGGAAGAAGGCATTCAAATTCAAGAAGCACAAAGAGCCCCAAGTAAGAAGAACCCAAATAGGCCCACACCAAGACACAAAGTAATCAAAATGCCAAAAATTTAAGACAAAGACAGAATTCTAAAGGCAGCAAGAGATAAGCAACAGGTTAACTACAAAGGGAACCCCATAAGGCTCTCAGCTGTCTTCTCAACAGAAACACTACAGGCCAGAAGGGAGTGGCATGAAGTAATCAATGTCATGAAAAATAAGGATCTGAATCCAAGACTATCCAGAAAGGCTATCATTCAATATAGAAGGTCAAATAAAGAGCTTTCCAGGCATAAAAAGGCTAAGGGAATATATTAACACCAAACCAGCACTGCAAGATATGCTAAAAAGACTGCTGTAATTAGTACAAGAAATAGGAAGAAAAATATAACCATACTAATCAATGGCAATAAATAAGTACATATCAATTTTCACCTTAAATGTGAATGGTTTGAATGCTCCGATAAAAAGACACAGAGTAGCTGGCTGGATAAGAAAGCATGACACATATATGTTGTTTACAAGAGACCCCCTTCACAACAATTGACTCACATAGGTTGAAAGTGAAGGGATAGAAAAAAATCTTCCAACGAAACGGAAAGGAAAAAAAAGCTAGGGTAGGAATACTCATATCTGATAAAACAGACTTCGAAATGAAGGCCAAAACTAGAGTCAAAGGCGGCCACTATATAATATTAAAAGGATCTATCCAACAGGAAGATATAACCTTGGTAAACATATGTGCACCTAATATAGGAGCACCAACATATATTAAAAATCTTCTGGAAAACTTCAAAGGAGAAATCAACAGCAATGCAATCACAACAGGGGACTTCAATACCCCGCTTACATCACTGGATAGATCGTCTAGACAAAAAATTAACACGGAAACACAAACTCTAAATGAAGCACTAGATCAAATGGACTTAATAGATATCTACAGAGAATTACACCCCAAAACTACAGAATACACATTCTTCTCAAGTGCACATGGGACATTTTCAAGGATAGACCACATGTTAGGGCACAAACAAAGTCTCTACCAGTTCAAGAAGACTGAAATCATATCAAGCATCTTCTCAGATCACAATGGCATGAAAATAGAAATCAATTGTAACAAGAACATGCAAAGACATTTGAAAACATGGAGGCTAAATGCCATTTTATTGAATAATGGATGGATTACCATGGAGATCAAGGAAGAAATTAAAAACTTCCTGGAAACCAATAAGAATGAACACATAACAACACAGAATCTATGGGATGCAGCAAAAGCAGTTCTGAGAGGGAAGTTCATAGCACTACAGGCCTACTTCAAGAAGCAAGAAAAATTTCTAATAGACTATTTAACCTCACAACTTAAAGAACTAGTAAGCAAACAAAAAGAAAACCCCAGAGCAAGTAGAAGGAAGGAAATAATAGTAAAGATCAGAGCAGAAATAAATGACATGGAGCCACTATGGAAAACACTATAGTGTTACCTCAGAAAAGTAAAAATTGAACTTCCATTTGACCCAGTGGTCCCACTTCTAGGAATATACCCTAAGAAGCCTGAAACTCCAATCAGAAAGAATATATGTACCCCCATGTTCATAGCAGCATTATTTACAATAGCTCAGATGTGGAAACAGCCCATGTGTCCATCAGTAGACGAATGGATAAAAAAGCTGTGGTACATATACACAATGGAACACTATGCAGCTGTAAGAAAGAAAGATCTCTTATCTTTTGAGACAACCTGGAGGGACCTGGAAAGTATTATTCTAAGTGAAACAAGCCAAGCAGAAAAAGAAAAATACCACATGATCTCACTTATTTGTGGAATATAATGAACATAACAGTCTGAGGAATGGGGTAGTCCCAGAGGCGTGGAAGTGGGGTACAGACGGACAATTGCCAGAGGAGGGCCTGGGGCGGGGGAGATAAACCACAGAACTTATATTCATGTATACATGAACAATGGACATGGACAACAAAGCTGGGGACAGGGTGGGGAGGGGGGGTAGGGAGGAATCATTTTGGGGAAAAGTGGAAACATCTGTAACAAAAATTCATTAATTTTTAAAACACAAAGTAAAAAAAGAAATAATTAAATTGAGGAACAAGGGAAAGATGTTAGGTGATTGTTGTTATTTAGCTATCTTATGTGCAGAAGTTGGTGTTGGGCATATTAACTGGCAGTAAGAACATGGTAATGGGGACAGAGTAAGATATGGACAACCTCAACTTTCTATAAATTTGAGTAGGTTGCTTGCTTACAGTTTTTTTAAACTTACTGGTTCCTTAAGTATAGAGTTGTGTGTAATAATAAATTGAGTGATTGAAATAAACTTTAAGTATTATAAAAATAACCCATGTATACTGGTTAGGATTGACTGGGCTGTGGCGTACAACCCCCAAATTGCAGTGATTTAAAACAATAAAAGTTTAACTTTAAGTATTATAAAAATAACCCGTGTATACTGGTTAGGATTGACTGGGCTGTGGCGTACAACCCCCAAATTGCAGTGATTTAAAACAATAAAAGTTTATTTATTGTTCATATTACAATTTGATGCAGGTTGGATGACTGTCTTTGCAGTTCTCCTCAAGCAGTGCCCCCTCTCATTATTTCAAGCTACCATCTTCATATGTAGCCTTGTAAATTGTGGCAAAAGGGAAGACAGATTGTAAGTGATTTGTGTAGATTTTATCACCATACTTTGAAGTGTCATGTTTAGTTTCACCTACATTCTCATGGTCTGAACCCAGTCTTAGGGCCCCTAACCATACTCAAGACTAATGTTCCTCTGTGCCCAGGAAAACTATAATGAAATAGGATCACATAGTATTGTCTCTGGCACACTAAAGTTTTAGAAGATTAAAATGTGCCACTAACCATGTTTCAGTAGTAGAGTAGGTAAAACCAAGAAGCAAACCATTGATTTGAAATACAAGGAAGCAAAAAACACCCAATCAGAACAGCAAAAAGAAAAAAGAATCCAAAATAATGAGGATAGCGTAAGGTGCCTCTGGGACAACTTCAAGCATACCAATATTCACATCATGGGGGTGCCAGAAGGAGAAGAGAAAGAGCAAGAAATTGAAAACCTATTTGAAATAATAATGACAGAAAACTTTACTAACTTGGTGAAGGAAACAGACATACAAGTCCAGGGAGCAGAGAGAGTCCCAAACAAGATGAACTCAGAGACCCACACCAAAACACATCATAATGAAAATGCAAAAGGTTCAAGACAGAGTCTTAAAAGCAAGACAAAAGCAGTTTGTTACCTACAAGGAAGCTCCCATAAGACTATCAGGGGATTTCTCAAAAGAAACTTTGTAGGCCAGAAGGGAGTGGCAAGAAATATTTAAAGTGATGAAAAGCAAGAACCTACAACCATGATTACTCTATCCTGCAAAGCTATCATTTAGAATCAGTGACCTTATAAAGAGTTTCCCAGACACGAAAAAGCTAAAGGAGTTCATCACCACCAAACCAAAGTATTATATGAAATGTTAAAGGGTCTTCTTGAAGATGAAGAAGAAAAATATGAACAATAAAATGGCAATAACATACATATCTATCAACAATTGAATCTACAAACAAAATGAACAGGCATTATAGAAACAGACTCATAAATGTAGGGAACTTTTTGATGGTTGCCAGATGGGATGGGTATTGGTGGGATGGGTGAAAAAGGTGAAGGGATTAAGAAATACAATCCTCAAATTGGTTGTTAGACTGACAAACCTCAAAGGAAGGAGGGAGGGGGGGAGAGATAAACCAAAGAACTTATATGCAAATATGCAAAACCAATGGACACAGACAATAGTGTGGGAAAGGTGGGAGTAGGGAGGAAGTGGTCAAGGAGGAAAAAAGGGGGCACATCTGTAATACATTCAACACTAAAGACAAATTTTAAAAGAAAAAAAAATATTGTTATATCACTCATATTTAGTTATTTAAACCTGAGCAACTTGGAGTAGCATATTTTTATTATTTCACCTAATCTGTAAATGTCAAGTTTTATTTATACTATCTATTTAAAAAGTATCACTGTACTTAAAGAGATTTTTTTACTTTTTATTCATCAAATCTTAGTTGAGCTCCTCTTATTTTTTTAAAAATATGTTTTCATTGATTTTTTTAGAGAGGGAGGAAGGGACAGAGATAGAAACATCGATGTGAGGGAGAAACATCAGTTGGCTGCCTCCTTCATGCCCGTTTATTGGGGATCGAGCCTGCAACCCAGGCATGTGCCCTGACTAGGAATTGAACGGGACCTCTCAGTCCATGGTACAACGCTCAATCTTCTGAGCCACACTAGCCAGGATGAGCTCTTCTTATAAGCCAGGCATTATGCTATGTATTGGGAATATAGTGGTGAACAAGATAGAGTTTTCACTGTTTTCCATTCTGGTCAAATTTATTGATCACCAAAATTTGTGATGGGTTGTACAGTGTATCAGTTAGTAACCACAAATTAGTTATATACCAACTATAAGGATTATAAAATTAGGATAAGCATCATAGGATTAGTGTAATGTAAATTTATGGTGGTTGATTTTTAGAAATCATAATCAATAGGAATAATATGGATTTTTTTTTTTCTTTTAGTTTTTAAAAAAAACCCTATTTCTATTTCTCAATATGGCAGTCATCAAGCAATCTCCCATCGTCCAACTGGACAACATTTCTCCCCAAATATGGTCCCAGGTATGAAGTCTTATTTTTAAATTTTAACTTGAAAATCAATTTTCTGTATTATTACATAGTAAAGAAAATGTCATTTTAACAGCATAGTGAAGTAGTATAAGTTAATGTTATATATTTTCAAATGATCAATAAAAGCTCAGGGAGAAGTAATCGTTTTAAAATTTACGTTATCTAATAGATTACTAAAAGCAGAAGAATTATTTGTTCTGCCACTCTGGACTACATTCCCTTTCATCTCTGTCAATCTGTATGTATTTATGTTCTTCAAACTGTGTTCAAATTTATCTCACAGAGGCCCTCTATAAATTACTAGACCCGACTGTCTTAAACTCCCTGCTCTGTACTTAAGAATGTTTCTGTTTTTTGAATACCTATTTGATTTTACAGAAATGTTCTGCTAAAATGATAATTGATATGATTAAAATTAATTATAATAATGATCTAAATCAAGGATTTGACAAGGACTAAAGGGGGTTGGGGAAAGGAAAGGTTATAGGTTATATCCAGGAGATATTAATAGAAAGAAGTCAAGAGTTTACAGTTGTAGGTAACTGTGCAGATAAAAATTACTTACAGTTTGTAACTTCTAAAAGTCTTACTGGATTTGGGAGATTTCTGACAGCAATATGTAGTTTGGAGGGAGGAAAAGAGTCATCCAACCTATATCATTGCCATTTAAAAATTTCAGTTTCTACTATCTATCGCTTTGGTGTATCGGTTTATAATCAATCCTGGAGATGCTCATGAGGACTGATTAGTAAACACCCAGTTAGAATCACATTGGTTATAAGATTTGGTTAAAGAAATTACAATAAACCTTTAAAAAAAAAAACTACCTGACTACCTGGTGTCAGACAGCTGTGTGTCTTAGCTTTTCTAAAGCAGATCATGCGAAAACTTCTTCAGCAAAATATGACCTTAACTTGATATTTTTCTGTTGTAGATTCTCATATAAATCACAATGGAAACCCTGGAACTTCAAAACAGAACCCTTCCAATCTTCTTCAGCGTTTAATTCCAGGCCCAAACTTGGAGAGTGAACCCAGAATTCAAACAGATACACTACAGCAAGCTACCAAGGATAGAGTCGGTGATTTCCATAAGTTGAAGCAAAGTAAGAATGAATATTATGCTGAAAAGATTTCTTTAAATACAATTTTTGTTTACAAGGCCCAATTAAGGTCTTTGTGTTATAATTTCTAACTAATGACTCTACAGTAAAGTTATATGCCTATAAACAGAAAGTATAATGGTGGTAAAATTGAAAAGAAAAGTATGTTTTAAATGGATAGAGATCTTAAAGAAGATTTTAAAAAGCTTCTCATGTTTGCCAGTGTTAAATAATAAATTTCAGGTGAGTTCATTCTTTAAAAATGTTATTAGTTCTTATGACTAAAATTTTTTGGAGAAATAAAATATATATTTTACTAGGCTAGTGAATGAAAACTTATAAGGAAGAGAAGGTAAATAGTTTTGAAAAATGGATTCTGGGAGAAATTCAGACCTGGGGAGATTACCATAGTGGATGACTTCTTGCTTACTTTTTCATTCCCTTGCCATAGCAGTTTACTTCATTTAGGTCTCAGGAGAGCAATGAAAGAAATTGAACATATGCATAGTACTATGTAATAAAGTATGACTACTTAATTGTTTCAGAGGTATTGATTTTGATAAAAGGACAATGCCTATTAAGTATAACTCTCTGGTAGATTCTCAGGAACTATAAGAAAAAATTCAGGTCATAGTGAGAATTTGGAGCAGGGCAGTGTCTCTTAAACCATATGAGACAGCTCCTTTAAACTATACTTTTTTTTAGTGCTTCTGCTTTTCAGGATTTCTTCCCTTCAACTTCTGAATAGACAACTCCAGTTTGCCTTTGTTAGCTTTTTATGATGACTTTATGTTTAGAGCAGTGTTTAGGCAGCTGTTTGAACACAGGTTGCTTCTAGGATGAGAACTGTACAGTGTTACAATTTTTTAAAATTTCAAGATATTTTTATTCATCTTATGACAGTTATTCATATTTCAGCATCTATCTGAACATATAGTTGGCATTCATTTAATTGACTTTTCTTCCTTGTTATGTAAAAGTATATCTTTGTGTCCTCACTAAAGTATTATATGAAAAACATTTTTATTTACAAGAATGTGGCTAATATTTTATTTTTTAAATTTATCTTTATTGTTGAAAGTATTACAGTTGTCCCCCTTTTTACTCCATTGATCTCCTCCTCCCCATTTCTGCCCTCCAATCCTGCCTTCACCACACTATTGTCTATGTCCATTGCTTATGCATATATGCATGTAAGGTAGGGAATAAAATATTTCCTCAAAATTTTGTTGGGATATTGACCTGAAAAATTTTATCTCAACAAAAAGAGGTTTAGAGTAAGTGTATAACTAAACAACATATCTTAATTTGATTACTTAAGATTTTCTTCTAAACTTATCATTTATCCCATAACATTTTTTATTTGCCTTACATGATTTTCTTTTTAAACCAATCTCTGAACAAAGAATTGACTGGAAAATAATTGCCAGGAAATCATCACTCTCTGCAACTTGTTTTTAAAAGAGCCTATTGAGTTTTAAACACTCCAGATTCTTTCCAATGTATAGAGTTGAAATCAATGTGAGCACTGTTTTGTGATTTCCTTTCACATTTTCTTTAAAAAAAAATTTTTTTTTTCCTTTATTGATTTTAGAGAGAGAGGAAGTGAGAGGGAGAGAGAGAGAGAGAAATATCAATGAGAGAGAACATTGACTGGCCACCTCCTGCATGCTCCCCACTGGGGATTTGGCCTGCAACCTGGGCATGTGTCCCGACCAGGAATTGAACTGGTGATCTCTTGGTGCATGGATCGATGCTCAACCACTGAGCCACACTGGCTGGATTCACATATTTCTTACATATATTTTAACCTATCAAATAGTTACATAGTTGTCATTTTAAATATATATGTGTATATATATGTATACTTATAAACATATACATATATCTTATTGTGCTTAGGCAATAATAATAGTTCATTTAGCTCTATTATTATATTGATTATTTAAATGATTTCATATTCTCTCTTGTTGAAATAACTATGAATATCTTTTTTGAAAGTACTTCATGCTTCTCCTACTTTGGGTGTTCCTTTAAAAGTGTAGTCCCCAAACTGAAATTACTAGGTCAAAGTTTTTTTATTAGCTTTCCTAGCTCCTGTTACATATTGTCAGATTGTTCTCTAGAATAGTTTCACAGTGTCAATGGAGTTGTTTAAATTTATTTCATTATGGCTTGACCATATTTGCTTTTCAACTCTTTTATAAGGCATTTAGAATATGTTCCTTAAAGATGTTTTAATAAGCATTTACTTTCTAACAACCTGTCCATTTTAGTGAGCAATTTTACTTTAATTATTTCTTGGTATATAAACCGTGCATTAGTTTTGACCACTTAGCCTGGTAACTTTGGAAATTGATCCTATATCTTTGAATCAAATCTTTATAAATAATTCAGATCTTCAGATACTGACCTTTTATAAATTGCCTTTATAGTTTTCTGCTTCAGTTGTCTTTCTTGATATGAGAGTTTATTCTATGTTATCATGCAAAATGTTTTTTTATTAAAAATAATTTTTAAATTGTGATAAAATTCAACAAAGTATTTGATTCAGTGGCATTTAGTACATTCACAGTGTTGTACAATCATCATAACTACTAGTTCCAGAACATTTTCATCATCCTAAAAGAAACTACCCATTAAATAGTCACTTCCCATTCTCTCCTACCAGTAGTTCCTGGCAATGACTGTTCTGCTTTCTGACTCTATTGGTTCACTTATTCTGGATATTTCATATACAGGGAATCATACAGTATGTAGCCTTTGTGTCTGGCTTCTTTCACTTAGCATACCATTTTCAAGTTTCAGCCATGTTGTTTCTTTTTGTGGCTGGATAATATTCAGTTTCAGTTCTACAAATACATTTTGTTTATTCACCCATTGATGGACATTTGGATTGTTTCCAGAACTATTTTCCACAGCAGCTGCACCATTTTACAGTACCACCCATAATGCATGAGCATTTAACTTTCTCCACATCTGTGTCAACACTTGTTTAAATTTCTTTGTTTCGTTGTCGTTGTTTTAACTATTGCTGTCCTAGTAGGTGTGAACTGGTATCATTGTGACTTTCATTGTCCGAATGACTAATGATATTGAGCATCTTTTTATGTCCTTGTTTGCCATTTGTATATCTTCTTTGGAGAAATGTCTCTTCAGATCCTTTGACCATTTTTAAATTGGGTTGTGTCCAGCTTATCTGTTTTTTCTTTTGTTGTTTATGCTTTTGGTGTCATATCTAAGAAACCTTTGCCAAATTGAAGGTCATGAAGATTTCCTGTTAGTTTTAAGAACTTTATAGTTTTAGCTTTTATGTGTAGGTTTTTAAATCTATTTAAAATTAATTTTTGTAGATGGTGTGGGGTAAAAATGTAACTTTATTCTTATGTATGTGGGTATTTGTTTGTGCATCACTATCTGTTGAAGAGACTCTTCTTTCCTCCATTGAACATTCTTGGCATTCTAGTAAAAAATCACTTGACCACAGATGTTTGGGTTTATTTTGCACTCCCAATTCTGTTCCTTTTAGACCAGATGACAGTACCACACTGTTTCAGTTGCTATAACTTTTATAGTAAGTTTTGAGATTAGGAAGTGTGGATCTTCCAACTTTGCCCTTCTTTATAACATTTTTTTTTTTTTTACTATTTGGGATCTCTTACAATTCCATGTGAATTTTAGAATCACTTGTGTATTTCTACTAAACAGGCAGCTGGGATTTTAATAGGAATTGCATTGAATCTGTAGATGCTTTGGGGCATATTCTCATCTAAACAGTATTAAGTATCCAATACATGGAAACGGGGTGTCTTTCCATTTCAGCAATGTTTTAGTTCCAGTGTATAAATCCTGTGCCTTCTTGGTTAAATTTATTTCTAAGCATTTTATTCATTTTGATGTTATTGTAAATAGAATTTAAAAAATATATATTTTTTATTGATTTTAGAGAAAGAGGAAAGGAGAAGGAGAGAGAGATAGAAACATTGATGAGAGAGAACATTGATTGGCCGCCTCCTGAGTGCCCCTCACTGGGGATTGGGCCCACAATCTGGGCGTGTGCCCTGACCAGAAATCGGAACCAGTAACTTCTTGGTGCATGGGTCGAGTCTCAACCAGTGAACCACACCGGCCTGGCTAAATAGAATTTTCTTACTTTCCTTATAAGAGTATTCATTGCTAGTGCATAGAAATGACTGATTACTTTTTATTCTTTTCAGCATTTGGTTTTAAATTCTTTTAATGCAATTTTCAAAGAATATGCTAATATTTGGTTTCATCTGAAAGATTTAGAATATGGTATTTTATTTTCATTATTTTAGAAATAGGTGTGTATCAGTGTTTTTTATATAGTATGAAAAATTTTTGTCATGTATATTAGCATATATAAATGTCATGTATATTAGCATATATAAATGTGTGTGTATATATATATGTAAAGTCAATATTTTTAATGTGATTCAATTTTCTGTTTTACATCAACTGCATTTTTTTTCTTTTTGACACTTTTCTCCCACCCCCACCTCTACCCCCCCACCCCTCTGCCTCTGGCAACTACCATTGTGTTCTCTCTATCTATGAGCTTGGTTTGCTTTTGTTGTTGTTGTCTTGTTTTTAGATTCTATATATAAGAGAGATCATGCGGTATTTATTTTTCTCTGTCTGATTTTCTTCACTTAGCATAATGCTCTCAGGTTCATCCTTGTTGCCAATAGCAAGATTTAATTTTTTAAAAGAAATGTGTGTGTATGTGTGTGTGTGTGTGTGTGTGTGTGTGTGTATGCATGCCACAATTTCTTTTCTCATTCCTTCATCAGTAGATACTTAGGTTGTTTCCATGTCTTGGCTGTTGTAAAGAATGCTGCAATGAACATGGGGATGCATATTATCTTTTTGAGTTAGTATTTTTGTTTTCTTTAGATAAATAACCCAAAAGTAGAATTGCTGGATCATATGGTAGTTCTGTTTTTCATTTTTTGAGGAGCTTCCCATACCACTTTCCATAGTGGCTGTACCAGTTTACATCCTTACCAATAGTACACAAGGTTTCCATTTTCTCCACATCTCTTCAATTATGACTTATGCTTGCTTGCTGATCTTGTATCCTGCAACTTAACTGAATATAACACCGTAGATTTTTATTTATATACAAGCATATTCATCTTGACTTTTATGGCAAGACTTCATTTCTTTTATAGAAAATCATCAGTCCTTCAGCTGGACATAAAATATACCACTCAATTTTTATTTATTTCTGCCTCTAATTGATTTTATGACCTCTTTTTATTTTATTTTATTTTAATTAATTTTTTAAATTTTATTTTTGTTACAGATGTTTCTCCTTTTTTACCCCATTGGCACCCTCCTCCTCATTCCCCCCACCACGTCCCCGGCTTTGTTGTCCTTGTCCATTGGTTATGCATACATGCAAATAAGTTCTGTGGTTTATCTCTTCCCACCCCCACCAGCCCCATTATGACCTCTTTTTAATTTACAGTGAAGCTTAGCAAGATTTATTTTTTCATATTCTTCTCAGTGTTCCTCTGTCTTAGATATAAGAATGTTCCTTTCCTTCAGGAATAGCAGACACCTTTCACATGAGGCTTTTATGACCTGTTTCAGGAGAAGGTCAGAAAGTCCTTCCTGCACAGGCCATTTCTCAAATTTCCTTCAGCTTGAAATATAGTAGTGTCTCCTTATCCACCAGGGATTATGTTCCAAGACCCCAGGGGATAACTGAAACCACAGATGGTACCAAACCATATATGTACCATGTTTTTTTCTATGGATACATACCTATGAAAAAGTTTGATTTATAAATTAGGCACTTTAAGAGATTAACAACAATAACTAATAACAATTATAACAATATACTGTAATAAAAGGTATATGAATGTAGTCTGTCTCAACATACCTTATTGTATTGTACTCACGTTTTTTGTAAACTTATCTTTATTGTTGAATGTATTACAGATGTTCCCCTATTCTTCCCCCATTGACACCCTCCTTCCCAGTCCCACCCCCCTCCTGCCTTCCCAACACTATTGTGTGTATCCATTGGTTATGCATATATGCATAGAAGTTCTTTGCTTTATCTCTTTAGCCATCGCTTCCCCCTTCCTTTTGAGGTTCATCAGTCTAACAACCAATTTGTACTTCTTAATTCCTTCTTCTTCTTCACCGATCCCACCAACCCCTCCCACCTGGCAAGCAACAAAAAGTTCTCTATCTATGAGTCTGTTTCTGTTCTGCTTGCTCATTTTGTTTGTAGATTCAAATGTTGATAGATATATATTAATTGCCATTTTATCATTCATATTTTTGTTTTTCTCCTTCAAGAAGACCCTTCAACATTTTATATAATACTGGTTTGGTGTTGATGAACTCCTTTAGCTTTTTCTTATCTGGGAAACTCTTTATATGGCCATCAATTCTAAATGATAGCTTTGCAGGATAGAGTAATCTTGGTTGTAGGTTGTTATTTTTCATCTCTTTGAATATCTCTTGCCATTCCTTTCTGGCCTGCAAAGTTTCATTTGAGAAATCAGCTGACAGTCTTATGGGAGCTCCTTTATAGGTAACTAACTGCGTTTCTCTTGCAGCTGTTAAGATTCTCTTTGTCTTTAACCTTTGGCATTTTGATGATGGTGTGTCTTGGTGTGGATCTCTTTGGGTTCATTTTGTTTGGGACTCTCTTTGTTTCCTGGACTTGTATGTCTGTTTTCTTCACCAAGTTAGGGAAGTTTTCTGTCATTATTTTTTCAAACAGGTTTTCAATTTCTTTCTCTCTTTCTTCTCCTTCTGGCACCCCATGATGTGAATGTTGGTATGCTTGAAGTTGTCCCAGAGACTCCTTACACTGTCCTCATTTTTTTGGATTCTTTTTTCTTTTTGCTGTTTTGATTGAGTATGTTTTGTTTCCTTATATTCCAATTTGATGGTTTGCTTCTTGGCTTCACCTACTCTACTGTTGATTCCCCTAAGTTATTCTTTATTCAGTTAGTACATCCTTCATTTCTGACTGATCCTTTTTTTATGTTGTCTCACTAAGTTCCTTGAATGTCTCACTAAGTTCCTTGAGCATCCTTATAACCAGTATTTTGAACTCTGCATCTGATTGATTATTTATCTCCATTTTGTTTAGTTCTTTTCCTGGAATTTTGTTCTGTTCTTTCACTTGGGAAATACTTCTTTGTCTCCTCATTTTGGCTGCTTCCCTGTGTTTGTTTCTATGTATTAGGCAGAGTTGCTATGTCTCCTGGGTTTCATTGGGTGGCCTATTGTTGTAGGTGCCCTGTAGGGTCTAGTGGCCGAGTCTCCCTATTCACCCCAGCTGGGCCCTCAAGGTATGGACTTTACCCTCTAAGTGTGGACTTTACACTCTTCTGTTGTAATTGAGTCTTGATTGCTGTTGGCACGTTAGTGGGAGGGATTTACTCAGGTTGATCAGCTGCAAGAACTGGCTGTGCCCACTGACCACTAGCTTCTGACTCCCTTGGAGGATCAGCGGTGTAGGGGATCAACATACAGAGCAAGACTTACTTCAGCAGGGCTCTGGTACCCACTGAGTCCATTCATTGAGTGTGTCATTTATGGAGGTGGTTGGTTGGTAGTACTTCTCGATGTGGCTTCTTCTTTAATTTCATAGTTGTAAAACTTCCATTTAGCTTGATTTCAGGCAGTTCTGAATGATGGTTGTTCTGTAGTTTAGTTGTAATTTTGATGTGGTTGTGGCAGGAAGTGAATACCAAGTTGACTGGAAGTCTCTCACCTTTCTTTTTTTTTAATTGATGTTTTTTACAGAGAGAGGAAGGTAGAGGGAGAGACAGAAACATTGATGAGAGAGAACATCGATTGGCTGCCTCCTGCCTGCCCCCCACTGGGAGTTGGACCCGCAATCTGGGCAGGTGCCCTGACCAGGAATCGAACGGGGGACCTTTTGGTGCATGGGTCGCTGCTCAACCTCTGAGCCACACTGGCCGGGAATACTCACCCTTTTTTAAAATAAGTTTTTATTGACTTTTTTTAGAGAGAGAGGAAGGAAGAGAGAGAAACATTGATTGGCTGTCTCTTGTATGCACCCCGACGAGGGACCAGACTGAAACCTGCGTATGTACCCTGACTGGTAATTGAACTGATGACCCTTCAGTGCATGGGGTGATGTTCAACCAACTGAGCCAAACTGGCCAGGGCTTTACTATAATTTTAAAAAAAGATATCCCTGCTCTTGCCGGTTTGACTCAGTCGTTAGAGCATCGGCCCATGGACCAATGGGTCACGGGTTCAATTCTGGTCAGGGGCACGTACCGTGGTTGCAATTCGTCCCTGGCCCTGGTTGGGGTCATGCGGGAGGCAACCAGTCGATGTTTCTCTCTCATGTTGATGTTTCTCTCTCCCACTTTATCTGAAGATAAATAGAAAAAATATCCTCGGGTGAGGATTAAAAAAATAACAAAGATATTCCTTGGTGAAAATTTTTAAAAATAAAGCTGATACAAAGTATTAACAAATGACAGAATAGATTTTAAGGAAAAAAGAAAAATGGAAGGATATGCCACGATAACAAGAAGAATGATTTACTAAAAAGAGGAAATAAAAAGCCAGTAGCCCTGGCTGGTTTGGGTCCAGAGGTTGGAGCGTTGGCCTGCAGACCAGAGAGTCCCGGGTTCGGTTCCCGATAGGGGCATGTAGACAAAAAGCTGATGCAATTTCTAGGATTTATTTATAGTTTCATAATTAATGTGAAAAAATTTTAATATACTTCTATTAAAATTATAAAAAGCCGAGACTGTGGAAACTTTGAAGCAAAAATTATCAGGTTTATTCAAGTATATAAATGTTTACAGTTTCGTAATAAAGGGAAAGTAAACATGTTTCAGGTACACGTTGAAAAATTATAGGCTAAATACTAGGTCACTAATATTTATTAACTAGAATGTTAATAAGTTTCAAGCAACTTATGCCATGAATAGTGTTTAAAATTTTATAAATTATAAACTTTAAAAAGTTAATCCTCATGCCCTGGCCGGTTTTGCTTAGTGGTTAGAGCGTCAACCTGTGAAACAGAGTCTTGGGTTCGGTTCCTGCTAAGGGCAGGTACCTCGAGTTGCGGTTTGTTCCCGGCCCCGGTTGGGGTTGTGTGGGTGGTGACCACTCGATGTGTCTCTCTCACATCAATGTTTCTCTCTCTCTCCCTCCCGCTCTATCTGAAGATATATGCAAAAATGTCCTCAGAGGTGAGGATTAAAAGAAAAAGAAAGAATAAAAAAAGTTAATCCTTGTGCTCAATTCGGCAGCACATATACTAAAATTGGAATGATAAAGAAAAGATCAGCATGGCCCCTGTGCAAGGATGACATGCAAATTTGTGAAGTGTTACATATTTTTATGTACCCCTATGTCTGTAGCAGCACTATTTACAATTGCTAAGATCTAGAAACAGCCCAGGAGTCTATCAATAGATGAATGGATAAAAAAGCTGTGGTATATATACAGAATGGAATACTATGCAGCTGTAAGAAAGAAAGATCTCTTATCCTTTAAGACGACACAGAGGGACCTCGAGAGTATTATCTTAAGCAAAACAAGCCAATCAGAGAAAGACAAATGTCATATGATCTCATTTATTTGTGGAATATAATGAACAAAACAAGCTGAAGAACAAAATAGACCCAGAGACATAGAAATAGGGTACAGACTGACAAACCTCAGAAGAGGGAGACAGGGATGGGGAGGGAAGAGATAAACCACAGAACTTATATGTATGTATGTATAACCAATGGACATAGACAACAATGCTGGGGGTGGTGGGATCAGGAGGAGGGTGTCAGTGGGAAAAAAGCAGAAACATCTGTAACAAAAATAAAGTAATAAAAAAAAAAGTCAATCCTCAATAACTTATTGGGAGGGGTTTATAATGGGCATTTCAAAATGTAAGGAATACATCAAAGTATTTACAGCTAAATTTATTACCTCAAAAGCATTAAGAAAATAAAAACCTCTGAAAATTAAATAAGTTGACTTTGACACAAAAATAGTAGTAGTAAGTACTGGCTGGTTTTGTTCAGTGGTCAGAGCGTTGGCGCATGGACCACAGAGTCACAGGTTTGATTTTGGTCAAGGGCACATACCACATACCTCGGTTTTGGTTTGGTCCCTGGCCCTGGTTGGGGTCGTGCGGGTCCTCAGGTGAGGATTTAAAATAAAAAAGAAATCAAATATATTTTATAAAAAATAGTAGTAGTAATAGTAGTAGTGGTAGTAGTCATACTACTGCTACTAATAATGACAATACTAATAATAGTTAACATTGGAGTTAATATGTACCAGTTGCTTTTCTAAAGTGTTTGTATATATAAACTCATAAATCCATGTGTAGGTACTATCATTATTCCCATTTCATAGACTGAAAGCAGACACAAAGACATTTCACAGCACTTCCAAGATAACTTAGCTAGTAAATAGCTGAGTAAGAATTAAATCGTAGACAACCTGGCTTCAGAGAAAGAGAGAGAAAAAGAATGATCTAAAGAATGTAGAGAGGAGGAAGAAATAAAGACAAAAGCAGTCATAAATGAAATGGAAGATAATAATTAGACAGCAAAAAAACAAAACAAAAAACGGATAGACCTTTATTAATACTGATGAAGAAAAATAGGAAAGATAAAATAAGTAGTATTCAGAACAAAGAAGGTATAACTAGCCCTGGCCGGTGCTCAGTGGTTAGAGCATTGGCCTGCAGTCCCGAGAGACCCAGGTTCGGTTCCCGCTAGGGGCATGTACCTCGGTTGCAGTTTGTCTCAGCCCTGGTTGGGTTGTGCTGGTGGCAGCCACTCGATGTGTCCCTTTCACGTCGATGTTTGTTTCTCTCTTCCTCTCTTTCCCTTGCACTCTATCTGAACAAAAAAATGGAAAAAATGTCCTTGGGTGAGGATAAAAAAATAAAGAAGGTATAACTATAAATCACAAGAAAATATTATTTAAAACTTTGACAATAAATTTGAAAACTGACATCAAATGGATAATTTTCTGTAAAGTTGTTAATTATCAAAATTAGTTCAAGAAGATTTGAAACTTGAATAAACGAATGATCAAAAGTCTCACCACACCTAAATGACATACTGCTAGAAGTAATGACAGTTAGCTAGATTACTGAATTCAGGATCACTATATGAAATTGATAATGAAATCAACAAAACCAAAAATTGATTCTTTGGAAAAACTAGTGAAAATAGGGCCTCTAGTACAGATCAAGACAGAGATGGCACAAATGACCAATATCAAGAATGAAAAGAGAGCATCAATGTAGATCCTATAAGTAATAATATTAAAGAACATTAAATGAGGTATTATCAAATAGTGCCAAAACATTTGAAAATTTAGAAGAAATGGATGATATCCTAGAAAAACACCTTTATACAAGAAGATATGGAAAATCTACATAGTATCATGTATATTTAAGATATTAAATCTGTAATTTAAAACCTTCCCTTAATGAAAATTTTATACCCAAATTATTTTGCTGGTGAATTCTTTCAAACATTTAAGAAACACAACCTATTTATTTATTTTTAAATATATTATTGATTTTTTAGAGAGAGGAAAGCAGAGAGAGATAGAAACATCGATGTGAGAGAGAAACATCAATCAGCTGCCTTCTACACGCCCCCTACAGGGGATCTAGCCCGAAACCTGGGCATATGCCCTGACCAGGAATCAAACTGGCGACCTCTTGGAGTATTGGTCAGTGCTCAACCCCTGAGCCACACCAGCCAGGCTCTATTCATCTTTTCACTGTAGGTACTAGTCAGAGAAATAAAGTGCAGTAAAAGGAAATAAACAGTATAGAGATTGGAAAGGAAAAAATAAAACTGATAAACTGATATTATTTATAGACATGATTTTATATGTAGAAAATTCTAAACAATTTACAAACTTAAATGTATTTAGCAAAGTTATTAGATAGGAAGTTAATATAAAAATTAATTGTATTAGGTGTGAGCAGAGTGGCGCAGAAGCGTGCTGGGCGTATAAAAATTAATTGTATTTTTATGTCACCAACAAAATATAAAGTGAAATTTTAAAATAGAAACTATTTTTAAAGGCATAAAATACATCAGATCCTTGAAAAAAATCTTAACAAATAGTCATAAGAACCTTTATCAACTATAAAATATTGACATAAATTAGATAACATGTAAAGAAATTCATGTTCATAAACGAATTCTTCTCAGATTGATCTAGAATTTCAATGCTTATCCCATGTATAATCCCAGCAGCATATTTTTGTGGTGGAGGGTGGAATTTTGATAAGCTGACTCTAAAATTTGTATGGAAATGTAAGGGACTAAGAATAGTCAAGACAATCTGTAAGAAGAACAAAACTCAGCAACTTCTACTACCAGATATCAAGAGTTACAAAACTCTTTTTTGTTTATTAATCCTCATCTGAGGATATTTTTCTATTGATTTTTAGAGAGAGTGGAAGTGAAGGAGAGGGAGAGAGAGAGAAACATTGATGTGAGAGAGACACATTGATCTTTTGCCTGCCGCATGACCCCAGTTGGGGCTGGGGATGGAACCTGCAAACCAGGTACATGCACTTGACTGGGAATCAAACCTGTGACCCTTTGGTCTGAGAGCTACACCAGCCAGGTCCTAATAAAACTCTTATTGATAATTAAGACACTATAATATCGGCACAAAAATAGACAGATGGACCAGTGGGACAGAATAGAGAATCCAGAAACTGATGCCACATTTATGGTTACTTGGTTTATGACAAAGTTGATACTGCAGTGCAATGGAGGAAAGGATTGTCTTTTCAATAAATAGTACAGGGTCAGATGAATAGCCAAATGGAAAAATATTACCCTTACTCTTCTACCTCACACAATATACAGAATTAAATTCAGAATAGATTGTACATTTAAAACTGACAGCTAATAGAACTTCTAGAAGAAAACAATATCTTAATGATGTGGAATAAGCAAAAATTTCTTAAACCAGATATCAAATATCCTCCCCACCAAAAAAAAAAAAAAAAAACTAACCATAAAAGAAAAAAATGATAAATTGGACTGTATTAAAATTAAGAACTTTTGCTAATCAAAAGATTAGAGTGAGAAATGCACATACCCTATAACTTATGTTCCTACACTCTAATGGTATGAGAATGGATAAATCTTGGCATATACCATATATACAATGGAATCATGAGTTAAAAAGAATGAACAGAGACTTCCGGTCAAGATGGCGGGTAGGTAAATGCCGTATCGCGTCCTCCCACAACCACATCAAAGTTACAACTAAACTACAGAACAACCATCATTCAAAACCGCCTGAAATCAAGCTGAATGGAAGTCCTACAACTACGGAATTAAAGCAGCAGCCACATCAAGACTGGCAGGAGGGCAGAGGCGCGACCTGCTGGACCCACACCCACGTGGCAGATAAAAATCAGGAGGATGCCTCGGCTGGGAAGGTCCTTCCTGAGGACTGAGGGGTCCCTGTCCCACACCAAGTGCCCCGCTCAGGGTTCCAGTGCCAGGAAGAGAATCCCCATAACTTCTGGCTGGAAAAACCAGCAGGAACTGAGGCTCAGGGTAGCTGACACGGCTGGAGCCCCAGGCAGCTCCTTAAAGGGCCAGTGCACAGATTTATCGGACTCTCCCCCTCTAAGCTTGGGGGGTGGGAAGAAATAAACCAAGCTTGGAGGGGAGGCAGCTCGAGGGGCACCAGAGACATACAGGGAAGAACTGAGCTGTTTGGCACTGGAGCGAGGGCTGGAGAGGGGGGTTTCTCCAGGACAAACGTGCTGTCAGAGGCCTTTGTTCCTTTGGTGAGCCCTTCCCTGGGGGGGCAGACAGCCACCATATCTGGGAGTCCAGCAACCTGGCTCACACTGGTAGCCCCGCCCTGGTGACTCCCTGAGGCCCCACCCCACCCAACTTTCAGGCCCACCCAAGCTGTTGCCACTTGCTTAACCATAGGATTGGCCTGTCTTGGATCCTGCTTCAGGTTTTTCCTAAATTCTTTCAGACAAGCAGCATCTGGTCTCAGCTAGCCCCATACCACTCATTAAGTAATACACAGAAACAGACACAGGGAGGCAGCCAAAATGAGGAGACAAAGAAACAGGTCCCAAATGAAAGAACAGAACAAAACCCCAATAAAAGAACTAAGTGAAATGGAGATTAGCAACCTAACAGATGCTGAGTTCAAAAGACTGCTTATAAGGATGCTCAATGAACTTAGTGAGAACCTCAGTGAACTTAGTGAGGGCCTCAAGAGCATAAAAAAGGACCAGTCAGAAATGATGGATGCACAGTCAGAAATGAAGGAGGCATTAACTGAAATAAAGAATAATTTACACAGATTCAATAGTA